ATATATATATATATATATATATATATATATATATATATTCTTCTATTTTGAGAATTTAAGAACTTACCTTAGGAAGTTTAAGTTTATTTTTTTCTTAAGAACAATTTTTTTAAATAAGGCCTCTCAAAATTATATCACCCTCTTTTCTACACTTATGGACATGATGTAATCATGCAATAATAAATAGGATATCCCTGAAATTTCCTAGCAAATCCGACCCAAACTGCTCCTAATATAAATCATTATTGTATCTTACCACAGAATATCACAGAACACTGATTATTTCATGTACATTTTGTTCACTTTTTACCCCAAAAATCTTTCGTAGTGCAACCGTAGAAACATTAATGATATGCACAACTTAGATTTCTGCATGAAGCAATTCACTGAATTTACTAAAGATGGTATTTTATACCACCATTGTGTAAAGCTCAAACCTCCATATATAATTCACCGGTGTCCTCGGCCAAGTTGTTCATTCAGAAATTTCATATGCCATCTTAGTCAATACGCACCATTTGGTCTTGGTCCATTAAGTTTGGCAGGAGTGCTGAGCAACACTGGAGTGATGGGAGACTTCAGTTTCTGCTGAAAGAACACACAGACTTTAGTTGTAGAAAAAACAGATAACATGAATGTGATTTCATTAGATAACAGATCCTGCAGTATTTGAAAGCATGTGCTGCTTGGTTTGATATCTTCTGATCTAATGCAATGACATTCATATGCATTTCAAGTCTGACTTAAAATAGTTCACCCAAAAATGAAAATTTGCTGAAAATATATTCACTCTCAAAGCCATCCAAGAAGTAGATTAGATTGTTTCTTCATGGAAACAGATTTGGAGAAATTTCACTCACCAATGGGCTGCAGTGAATGGGTGCCGTCCACAGTGGATTACTTGTGGATTATTGTGATGTTTTTATCAGCTGTTTGGACTCTCATTCTGACGGCACCCATTCACTGCAGAGCATCCATTGGTGAGCAAGTGATGTAATACTACATATCTCCACATCAGTTCTGATGAGGAAACAAACTCATTTATATATTGGATGGCCAAAGGGTGAGTACATTGTCAGCAAATTATCATTTGTGGATGAACTATTCCTTTAAGTGTCCAAATACTAAGCTTAAAACCCTTGTGCTCTCCTCATTTGAGAGTCACATTCATGGTCTTCGCGGTCAAAAGTGACCGGACACCTGAAATTTAACTTTTAGATATATATATAAATGTACAATAGATAAATAAAGAAAATAAATCAAATTTTAAAATGCTTCAAATTCTGAAGCAGAATATTCAAAAAATCTGAAAAAGTTATCTGAAAAAATTCTAACAGTATTTATAAAGTAAGGAAATCATTTAAAAAATATATCAATGTAAAATACATAAATAAAAACAAAAATTAAATAGATAAAACTGAAAAATGCTTTAAATTCAACAGAAAAATCTGAAAATGTTCTTTTTTTTTTAATCTGAAAATGTTCTCTGAAAATAAACTTCCTGCTGTGACATCACTTCCCTTTCCTGTTATTCTTTCTTACCTGGCACCTACTGTTGTCATGGTGCTTGTCAGAGATGTCCGTCAGTATCACATGTCTTTGTATGGGCAGCCAGCCGAAGCGAACTGGAGCGAGAGCGCAGAACTGAGCTCTTTCTGCAGCAGGAGCAGCTTTAATGTGAACAGACTCCAGGCTGCTCGAGGAGCTTTCACACACACTGGGACAGACGCTAGGGGTCTGATTCCTCCTGCGCAGAGAGGAAACATCAGGACATAGTGGGTTACTTCCCGCCGTCTCATTCGGGAGAACTGGCATTGATACCGTCCTGTCTGCAAACTGAGGTATTTGATTCTGAAGCCAACGTGATTGGAGTCTCTCCAGTGTCTGAAGCCATTTGTCCATCCTGCCACCCTCTATGCAGCTCAGCGGACGAGCTCCGCAAGGGGGCTCATTCACTTGCGCTGCGGGGCCCTCATAATAACCCCGCTCCCCAGGCCTCCTCCATGATGAGGATCTGCGAAGGAGACTCGTGCTGTTTTTGCCAGCTGCACCATGGGGCTGAAGTAGCTGCCGCCAGCCCTCAGGCTTCACGTCCTCCATAATAAACTCTGAGAAAGACATTGAAAATGGATCTTAAAGGGATAGCTCACCAAAAAATGAAATTTTGCTGTTCATTTACTGACCCTCAGGTCAAGATGTAGGTGACTTATTTTCTTCAGTAGAACAGTAAAGAAGATTTTCATCTGAAGCCGTGGTCCTTTGTGATTCATTAAATATGTTAAATAGTCAGCGGCTGCACGTTTTTGAGAATAAAAAAGCATATCAAGAAACACAAAATTAATACTCATGACCCCTGATGATATATTGAGGTCTTAGGAAGCGAAACGATTGGTCTGAGCAAGAAAGAGAACATTATTTACAACATTATAACCTGTAATCCAGAGCCTCAGGCAAGCGGGGAAATTCGATTCTTGTTCACAAACTGATTCTTTTGGACAGTTCATTTCAATAAATTGGTTCACTGGTTCACTGGCTTGTAATCATGCAATGATGTAACATATACACAGTTATATTATTAAAGCACCCAATAATGATGTGAAACGTGGACGTTTTACTTGTCCAAAGCATACAAAGTGAAGAAACTAGTCTTCATCAGCTCATCTTTTTACATAAACCAAGAGAAACCATAAAAACTTTCGTTTGGTCCCTTCATTAAAGTGTTCGGTTCACACATGCGCATTTCAGCGGCTCATCGGTCTTCGTCCGAGTTGAACTGTTTCCTCAGTTCAGTGACTGTTGGAGGAACTGAAGCACTGAATGAGTTCATTCATCATAGGATCAGTCGCATTTCGAGTCAGAGTGACTGTCAGATGTCTAAAAGTGAGTTTTGATTGAGTAACTTCCATTGGACGATTCAGTCCAATTTGGTGAACTGGTTCATTCAGTTCACTAAAAAGAACTGGTTCAAAAAATGATTTGTTTGCAAAATGGACGTAACTCTGGGCTGTGTACCTAAACTATGGATTTAATGGATCAATAATGTTGTAAATAATGTTTTGTTTCTTGCACAGACCGATCGTTTTGCTTCATAAGACCTCAATGCATCATCAGGAGCCATGGGTATTTATTTTGTGTTGCCTGATATGCTTTTTTATTCTCAAAAATGGGCAGCCTTTGACTTGCATTTTATAGATCACCAAGGACCATGGTCTCAGCTAAAAATCTTCTTTACTGTTTTACTAAAGAAAAAAAAGGCACCTACACCTTGGATGGCCTGAAGGTGAGTAAATTAACATCAAATTTTCATTTTTCGGTAACTATCCCTTTAAGAACAAGAACGCACACCCTAATTGAGTTTCACAGTGTTCAGAACACTACGTTTTCTCATAAAGTCAACGTGCAGGTACATCCACTCTTTTTTCAGTAAAAAATACACCAAAACACCTTAAAAATGTCAATTCTCTGAGCTGCTTTCAGATTTTTCTATTGCTTTTGGCAAATAGTTTAATAGATTTTTTACAGTGACGTCCTAATTGAGCTCAGACTGCTTTGTCAATACAATCCTACTCAAACACACTTAAAAAAGCCAATACTCAACAAGCTGACATGGCAGCGTGTACGGTAAGCAGAGCAGTTTACCTGCGTCACACGGCTCTGAAGAGGATGACACAATTTGACTTCTGTGACAATCCCAGCTTTCCTTCCATGTCTCCTTCTCTCACAGTGTGAAGAGGGGCCACTGGTGCCATCTCCTCTCAGCCATGACTATAAATGTGTGTGCTAGTCTGAAGGAACAAAAGACTTACAGAACAACTTTTATTTTTCACTGGGAGAGAGATGTGTGTGTCAGTGTGTGTGAGTGTGTGTTTGCTCGCAGCCAGTAAATACCCCCTTTTTCAACCTGGACATGTTGGCTTGGAATTGTTTTGTTTACTCTTAGAGATGCCTTTAACATTTGTCTTGTAGTCACAAAGGAGTCTGCAGTTTAACACAGATAACCTAAAGTGAAAAAGCATTATCTGGATAAACTGTATACTTTGTACTACTTGCATTTTCTTTTCTTTCAGTGTTTTTTTAAAGGAAAAGGAAACTAGAACCTATTTGGAGAGTGCAAAACTCACTGCCACAATGGATTTTGTGGGTGGTTTGACAAGCTAATGAGTGGGTGGTTGCTAGGTAGTTGCTTGCTAGTCAAAAAGCTCCAACTTTTCCCCTACTATATATGTGAAAAACTGTATAGGACAGTGGTGCCCAAACTTGGTCCTGGAGGGCCGGTGTCCTGCAGAGTTTAGCTCCAACCCCAATTAGACACACCTGAACAAGCTAATCAAGCTCTTACTAGGCATTCTAGAAACTTCCCGGCAGGTGTGTTGAGACAAGTTGGAGCTAAACTCTGCAGGACACTGGCCCTCCAGGACCGAGTTTGGACACCCCTGGTATAGGACATTACATTGTAATTTTACGGTAGTATACCGTTTTTGGAAATGAAAAAGAACCTATAATTTGCAGTGAATAACCGTAAATTGTCATTCCCAGAATTCCCTGCGTTACATTTCAAATTTGATGTTTTTGTTGTTGTTGTTGAAATAACTGTTTCTTCTTTGTTTTTTCTTATCAGTTTTGTACAGTAGGGTTGTATGTTACAGCTAATGTTGTTAAATTAATGTTTATTGCATTCCGTGTGTGTTACCATGATGGTGTTTAGTGTTTGTGTGAATGACACTGTGCACCTCCTATATATGTTAGTATTTAAAAGCTGTTTGTGATGGGCTTTGGTTCATCATGTGACTTTCCTATCATCACCTGCTTTTGGTGGTTATCGGTGTATTACAAAGGTACAATACAGATTTCAGTACTTCAATAGGTTGGTATATTAACGTTATATCAGTTAATGAAATTACGGTATTTAAATGTAAATTTAATTTAAAACCATAAAACCTAAAATGTGACCCTGGACCACAAAACTAGTCAAGTCAAGTCACCTTTATTTATATAGCGCTTTTAACAATACAGATTGTGTCAAAGCAACTGAACAGCATTAATTAGGAAAATAGTGTGTCAATAATGCAAAATGACAATAGTAAACACTCATTTTCCAGTTAAAGGCAGTTCATCATTGAATTCAGTGATGTCATCATCCAGCTCAGTTCAGTTTAAATAGTATCTTTGCAATCATTTGCAATCAAGTCAACGATATCGCTGGAAATGAAGTGTCCCCAACTAAGCAAGAGGAGAGGCGACAGCGGCAAGGAACCAAAACTCCATTGGTGACAGGCCAGAGGCGACAGCGGCAAGGAACCAAAACTCCATCGGTGACAGAATGGAGTAAAAACCTTGGGAGAAACCAGGCTCAGTCGGGGGGCCAGTTCTCCTCTGGCCAGACAAAACCAGCAGTTCAATTTCAGGCTGCAGCAAAGTCACATTGTGCAGAGGAATCATCTGGTTCCTGTGGTCTTGTCCCGGTGGTCGTCTGAGACAAGGTCTTTACAGGGGATCTGTATCTGGGGCTCATCTAGTTGTCCTGGTCTCCGCTGTCTTTCAGGGCTGTAGAGGTCCTTTCTAGTCATAAGTAGCACAGGTGTATTTGTAGCAATAGCCAACAATACATTGTATGTGTCAAATTTATAGATTTTTCTTTTATACCAAAAATCATTAGGATATTAAGTAAAGACCATGTTCCTTGAAGATATTTTTGATATACCGTAAATATATCAAAACCAAATTTTTGATTAGTAATATGCTTTGCTAAGTACTTTACATGGACAACTTTAAAGGAAATTTTCTCAATATTTAGATTTTTGCAGCCTCAGATTTCAAATAGTTGTATCTCAGCCATTATTGTCCTATCCTAACAAACCATATATCAATGGAAAGCTTATTCAGCTTTCAGATGATGTATAAATCTCAATTTAAAAAAATTGACACTTGTGACTGGTTTTGTGGTCCAGGGTCACAAATGTTGCTACCATATTTTTTACTGTAAAATTCTGGCAACCACAGCTGCCGTTTTTTTACCGTAAATTTTACAGATTTTTTTTTACAGTGTACATATGAGCAATAATAATAGTGATGCTTTATGTTTACTGCAAACAAATCTTTAAAAAAAAATACTACGGCACTACCATGGTACAGTCAAGGTATCAGATTATTAGATAGCGTAATATATGTGACACTTACAAACCACCAAATTGCATAGTAACACACTAGAAATCCCATCAGGACACCATAACTACCACATAGCAACACCCTGGCAGCTAACCACGTTGTTCTAGCTTTACATCAGTGAGTTTTTCACATGCAAACACCAAAATAAATTTTTTGAAGTCATACTGAGATGTGGGTTAGAAGCGCATCATGTAACACACACAGAGCTTCTGCTATCCCGTGGTTTGGAGCAGGACATGTGATCGTTGAATCAGATGATGAGGTTGTTCATGTTTGTGTCGGGACACCCACATGACCTCTCAAGACCACAAAAACACATCTTCAGGGTGAATAAGCTCTGTCCCGGGCTTTCTGTACAGCCCGTCCGTTCTGCTGCTTCAGGATCAGGATCAACAGCCCTTTGACCTGTAAGAAAGAGAAATCACAAGTGAGATCTCTTGGAAGGTGCTGCTGTGTGTATTTATTTATTTATTGCTGTACTAAAGCATAAAAATACCATACATGTTTGCAGATATTTAGGAAACATGCTAAGTTCACATAATTGTCTCTGAAAACCAATGCTACAGCCAGTTATTCTACTTTGAAATGTGCGTTTGGTGTCGGAATGCCTGCTTTTGTTTTGGTCTATGTGACTCCGCCCAATGCCAATTTACCCAACAGAATTTCGACACCCCGGGTTGCCAGTTGGCGGAAAACACAACGTATTGCAGCCATGGAAGCCAGCAAATGAAGCAGGTCAGAGATCACAGATTCTACCCGACCTAAAAAGCCTCGGCATCTATCTAGAAAAACTCTATGAGCAAAGGAACATTAAAATGCAGACAAATCAACTCCTCAACTTACAGTGTAAAGCTTGTCGTCTTTCATTGTCCTCAATCTGGCAAAAGAAAAAGGCCCAGAAAAATAATGTCTTAATAATATCTCTAATAATATGTATTATTCTATAACTCTATAACTCTATATTCAAATACCAATCAGTAAACAATGCATCCTGGCAACACATCAGTAGCATTAAATGTGTTTTGCTTAGTAAAGATTTTGACTTTTACTTCAGATGTATCTCCTAAGAAAAAGGCCCAGAAAAATAATGTCTTAATAATATCTCTAATAATATATACTATTCTATAACTCTATATTCAAATACCAATCAGTAAACAATGCATCATGGCAAACCTGTACATTACTTAAGATATTCAGCTCAGCTACAATTGTGCAAACACTGTGAAAAGTGTGTATTTTTATAGTTATTTCTATAGATCTTTTCATCACTTGGCACCTTGAAAATAAAAAATATTTTGTTAGTATTTTTAGCAAAACAGTCTTTAAAATATAAATATTGCATGCATAAAGAATATATGCATACTATACATATTGTTTTTATTATTTATGCATACTGTGTGTGCACAGTGTGTAATTTTAACTAAAATTTTCTATAAATCTGCTCATCTTACGTACCGTACTTGGAAATAAAAAATTATATTTTTAATAAGAAAATGTCTTAAAAAGATCAATATTACATGCATAAAGAATATATTGATACAAAACACTGTATACTGCTCTTGGGGCAGTTGTGGCCTAATGGTTAGAGAGTTGGACTCGTATCCCAAAGGTCGCAGGTTTGAGTCTCGGTACCAGCAGGGATTGTAGGTGGGGGGAGTGTATGTCCAGTGCTCTCTTCCACCCTCAACACCATGACTGAGGTGAGACCCTTGAGCAAGGCACCGAACCCCCAACTGCTCCCCGGGCGCTGCAGCATTGGCTGCCCACTGCTCCGGGTGTGTGTTCACTACTGTGTGTGTGCACTTGGATGGGTTAAATGCAGAGCACAAATTCCGAGTATGGGTCACCATACTGGGCCACTTCACTTTCACTTTTTTACTATTTTTGCAGTATGCATATTGTGCTCAGTGTTCAATGTCTTCTAAAATGTTCCTATAAATCTTCTCATTACAGGGCACCTTGGAAATAAAGACTTAAAGTAAATCCTAAAGTCTTAAAATACATTTTGTATAGGCACTTAATGCATACTAGACATAGTATGCATACTACAGAGATATAGTAGTATGTCGTTCTGAACTCAACGAGCAGAACAAGCAATGCCCCCTGCAGGCGGATGATGAATCTGAGGGAAAGTGTGCGAAGTGTTCTCGTTAGGGGGAAGACTGATATGAAGTATAAATAAACATGTAAAGGCAGACTCGTGTGTGTTGGGTTCGTTCCTCTGATGTTGGGACACGTCAACATTTTTCTGCTGATAATAAGGAATATCTTCATCATTAGAGGAGAGAGAGAATGAAAAGAGAAATGAAAGCTTGTATAACTCACACAATCAAAACAGCCCTATCCTGCTCTGTACATCTATTTCATGTTTATTCCCAGCCATTATTTTCCTGTGATCAATTTGGTATTTGTTTCTAATTTTAAGTGGGTAATTTGCTGTTTTGTTCTCGGTGCTTTGGGCCGTGACTCATGCCTCAGCATGGCTTACTCTCTGTATTTACGGAGGGATTTCCTAATTAAAGCTGTCAAATGTCTCAGAGGCTTAGAGCAAACAAATAAGAAAGGCACAGGAGAACAATTAAAGGAATAATTCACCCTGAAACAAAACTTCTGTCAGCATTTACTCCCCTCATGTCATTCCAAACCCTTTTGATGCTATTTCCTCTCGTGGAGATGTTAAGCTGTATATTCATGATGCTCTTTGAAGCTCAAAAGTCAGGTATCATAATATCACTTTTACAACTCTCAAATCTTGGAAGAAAGTTTATATATATATGTACGGAAAGTATTCAGCCGTACCCACTGTATATATATATATATATATATATATATATAATATATGTGTATGTAAAATTTTCTGCATATAATGTGTGTGTGTGTGTGTGTGTGTGTTTGTATTTTCAAATTTTTTGCATATGTAAAAGCCTGATTAGAATCTATGCATACAACTGTGATATTTAGCTTTATTTACGGCACATATTTCATATTATACGCTTCGTTGATGCTGTTGTCCTCTTACACAGTAAAAAGGATTTTTCAAAGTTGTAAATAGGATTATTGGAGTATGTTTCTATAAGAAAACACTTTATAAGTTCTATAAGTAACACTTTACTTAAAGCCTTTATATAATGCATTATAAAAGTAGTTTTAATGCATTAATTATGCCTTATAATGCACCATACAATGCATTACATTGTACAGTCTCATGAATAATTGTAACAACATTTAATACATTATAACACTCATTGATTCATTGTTACAGTACGCATTTTATATATTGGTTGTAATTATTTACAACAAGATAATAATAATGTATTACAACACACATTATGAATAATTATAATGCATTATACCCTTTAATAACCCTTTATAATGCATTACACATAAAGGCTTTAAGTGTTACCAAAAATACTATTTAAGTCTGTCTACTTCAAATTTTTACATTTAACTCAATGTGTTACTTGCTGTTTCTTCCTAATTATTTGTCAAATTTACTACCAATTTCAATATGAAAATAGTTTAAAAGTAATTTTTTCCAAGTTAAGTATAAAGTAGACTTAAAAAAAACTTTTATTAATGGTGGAAGTGACGCCACAACTAAAGGACAGCTGTAGAATTTAATAGAATAACTTTGACTAACATTTGATATTAAAAATTGTCATACAAATATATTTTAGATTAATCATTTCACTTCTTTAATCATGATTTATTTAAACATAATAATTCATATTTTTATGATGGAGTTTCATAGTTTTTTTGTTGATTGGGTGTTGGACAAGATAATAATACATAAATACATTTTAAATGTGCAAATTTAAATTAAGAATATATTTTTAATGTGACTTTCACATAAGAAAAATAAATCTGCTAGTTTTAGCAAAAATAATAATAGTGCTTGGCTTAGCAAACACCACTAAAAAGCTACAACATCTCTCTTTCTGCTGGACGTTTCACTGGGTAATGATGATGAAGTGTTTGAGCTCTATTCTTCAGGCTGAGAGAGCCAGAGAGAGGTGTTTAATGTGACAGGGTCCGCACTAAACCACTCTGATATATACACTGATGAATGGTAAACAGCCTCTTCACCCTGCTGTGGGGCCAGAAAGCGCTTATACTCTAGGAGAATAAATCATTCAGTTCTCATAAAGGCATCTACTGTATCTGTGGGCTAACAATGAAAGCACATTTCTGTAACATTTACTCCGAAGCTTCAGATGAACACAAAGGATGCAGGAGCTTCTTTTAATGTTGTTTTAATCAAATACTTAAAACATTAACTGCAAGCTACAAAACACAACGGCAAATGAATGTTTAGCATAGTGTAATGATTCAAAAGACAGTCTTTGTCCCACAGAGCAGCTTTAATTGCAAGCATCTGGGGATGGTTTGTGTGCAAAGCAACATACTTTCACAGAAACAACAATTAACCTCAAACAGAGTGATAATTTCTCTGGAAAAGCAGGAATTAAGTGAAGTCGGTGGCTATGAGAGAGTATCCCAGAGCAATCTTTTCTAATTGGTCCCCATAATCAAATTTTCAGCAGTCGCCACAGTCTGCAGCTATTTATGACAGTGAAAATTGTCTCGTTATGAGTATTAGTGGATTCATAATGTATCATGCTGTGCTGTTAATTTTGTTTTCCATATTTTGATTAAAAATATTTTTTACTCAAAAACGGAACAGACGCAGTGGAAAACAGATTAGTCTGTCTGTTTAGACCCTGGTTAAAATAAACATTATAAGAAATTGACCGAAAATGACATTACAAGGAGTTTCATCATGGTTCATTCAAAATGCAAAAAATCTGGGCTCCTCCATCACAGTAGGCCATCATAAAGTGGCTTAAGGATCTCAGTTTAGATTCAGCTTTTATACATGTGTGCATATATAATAATAATAATAATAATAATAATAATAATAATAATAATAATAATAATTCATTACATTTATATAGCGCTTTTCTAGGCATTCAACGCGCTTTACATTGTTCTCCTCATCCCATAGTGCGCCAGAACGCCCACCACACACCAGCTTATTGGTGGAGAGGAGACAGAGTGATGAAGCCAATCAGCAGATATGGGGATTGTTAGGAGGCCATGATGATCAGAGGCCAATGGGCAAATTTGGCCAGGATGCCGAGGTCACACCTCTACTCTTTTCGAAAGACATCCTGGGATTTTTAATGACCACAGAGAGTCAGGAGCAGCAAATCAGCATATTAGAATGATTTCTGAAGGAAAACGTAACACTGAAGCCTGAAGTAATGATGCTGAAAATTCAGCTTTGCATCATAAATGGCATTTTACAATATATTCAAATAGAAAACAGGTATTTTTCTTAATATTACCGTTTTCCCTGTATTTTTGAACAAATAAATGCAGCCTTTGATGAGCAGAAGAGACTTTTTTCAAAAACACGAACTATTCCTTTCGCAATTTCTTTCATAACAAATTGTGGGAATCACGCCACAGTAAAGGAACAGTCGTGTTTTGGGTAGAAATGGAAACGATCTTCATACAAAACATACTTAAAGTGGTTATTTTTAAACACGTAATGATTAATATTTCCATAGATTTTTACAGATTGGAAGCCTGTTGGGAACACGTAAATAAATAAATAAATAAATAAAAGTTGCAAAAAATAAATGAGACATTTTTAATGTGACATTCATATAACTAATAAGAAATAATAATAAGTTTCAATAAAAAAAAATCTACTCCTGGAACATAAAAGTGTCCGGTGTTGAAGAAACTTATGCCAAGTCACCCCAGTTGTAGTGCTTTTACTTTCCTCTGGTATTTTGGCTGAAATTGCAGTTACCATGGTATTTTTTGTGAGGGACTGACCGGTCGTCCGGTGACGCTGGTGTCCCACATGACAAAAAGTTTCTCATAATATCTCCCCCTCGCGGTTCATGAGTTCAGTGATGGTGGAAAATGGCGGCTAGATGAGTCTCTCCACTCCTACAGAGAAAAGAAAAAGTGTGTGGAAAAACTCTGGATATATATTTGGAATATCGACAACAACACTCACGGGCGTCTCACAACACCTTCATCAGTGAGGATGTCGCGCTGGGTGCCCACGAAGAAGGAGAAGTATGGAGTAGGTGAGTAGAGAAGAACCAAACTTCTTCATGTCCCATTACAAAAGTTTTGGGAGACATTGTGATTAGAGTTTCTCTGTGTTCCCGGCTGGTTTGGATTATTGAAGGAGGACTGTGCTGAAGTGTTTTTTTATGATTGTGGGTCAGTGTAATCAGTGCGCTATCGTGTATTTGGAGATGTGTGTGTGTGTGTATATGTGAGTGTTTTTTGGTGGAGATTGACACAGACGCGCCTAGTTCCAGTGTTTCTTCCTGCCCGGCGGCTTGAATGGAGCTCATGGATACATTGTTGCTCATTCCCCTCGCGGTTCATGAGTTCAGTGATGGTGGAAAATGGCGGCTAGATGAGTCTCTCCACTCCTACAGAGAAAAGAAAAAGTGTGTGGAAAAACTCTGGATATATATTTGGAATATCGACAACAACACTCACGGGCGTCTCACAACACCTTCATCAGTGAGGATGTCGCGCTGGGTGCCCACGAAGAAGGAGAAGTATGGAGTAGGTGAGTAGAGAAGAACCAAACTTCTTCATGTCCCATTACAAAAGTTTTGGGAGACATTGTGATTAGAGTTTCTCTGTGTTCCCGGCTGGTTTGGATTATTGAAGGAGGACTGTGCTGAAGTGTTTTTTTATGATTGTGGGTCAGCGTAATCAGTGCGCTATCGTGTATTTGGAGATGTGTGTGTATATGTGAGTGTTTTTTTGGTGGAGATTGACACAGACGCGCCTAGTTCCAGTGTTTCTTCCTGCCCGGCGGCTTGAATGGAGCTCATGGATACATTGTTGCTCATTGTTAATCGCGCGTTGATACTTTGTAACAACTTTTCACGCTGATATGTTCTAAAGTTTCGCTCGTTGTGTTTGGCGCGGAAGATTCTGAACGCGCTACATTCTTACAGCCGCCGCTGCTTCTTTCAATCGCCCAATTGTTTTGTTTATATGTCAGCGTTCCCACTGTCACGGATAACCTGAAAAGGTTAGGATATTTAAACACAGATTTTCATTCACACGATTTCTGTAGTGAATATACATGGCCTAAAATGAGGATACACAGTGAACTGAAGTGCTCTCCGTATCTAACCCTAATGACTGGAAAACTCGTGCAAAGTTATTGGTTGAAAGGCGTGGGAAGCATGAGGTAAACAAATTCGTTTTATTGGGCTACTATATACGTGTAATTGTTTATATCTGGGGAGTTTTAGAAACTTTTTTTGTAGCAAATTTGTCAATTGTTTGTGTAAAATAATTTGTATTTTGTGCCTATATCGCATTCAACTCTCTGAAATACTTCATTCTGATTAGTTAGCATCATTGGTCAGCATTATTTCAGTCACTGCTTACCTATATTTCATGTCTTACATTATTTCTCTGCTTCCTTATGACTTACTGTAAAAATCAGAAAGTAACAAAACTACAGTGTTCCTATACAATGTGGCCAAGTATGTATAGAACTAGATGTTAATCAGACACATCAGCTGTAAAGGAAAGTTGAACTGTATTTTCAAGGCATTTCTTCCTTCTTGTATGCAATGATAGACTGGAATGTTTTCATGCTATTGGTTGTGCTGCCTCATTCCTGAGTTGACATGGCATGATTAAGCATGAAGTAATGCACTGGATGATGTGAAAGCTTGTTTTTGTTTTCCATGGGATAAAAAAACAAAAACTAAAAAAGGTAATTGCAACTTTTTATCTCACAATTCTGAATAAACTCAGAATTGCAAGATTCGGCAAAATGGAAGAATTTTGCAAGCTGCGCAAAACCACGTTCATATTCGCGCGATTTTTTGCGCAGCTTGTCAGTGAACAACGGCTCTGTGTAGTTAATGCTGCTCAATGTGAAAGCACGCACGTGATGGAGATTTACCGCTGATTACAGAACCGGCTTTCTGACAAGATGCGCGTTAAATATCGCATGCGATTTATCGTGCAGCCCTAAAAAAAAGTCACAATTACATTTGTTTTAACATTTCCTGCCAGAAACGGGCTTTCACAGGCTGATGCTGTTGGTGTTTTCTAACTGAACTGTTTCCTTGAACATCCATTGTAGTTAATATATCAAAAATTCACTTATGGCGCTTTTCCACTGCGTGGTACGACTCGGCTCGGTACGGCTCAGTACGGCACGGCACGGTTCG